AGTGTGTATATTATGTGAGTGTGTGTATTGCATGATTGTGTGTATTATGTGAGTGTGTGTATTGCGTCATTGTGTGTATTATGTGAATGTGTGTATTGCGTGAGTGTGTATATTATGTGAGTGTGTGTATTGCGTGATTGTGTGTATTGCGTGATTGTGTGTATTGCGTCATTGTGTGTATTATGTGATTGTGTGTATTGCGTCATTGTGTGTATTATGTGAGTGTGTGTATAGCGTCATTGTGTGTATTATGTGATTGTGTGTATTGCGTCATTGTGTGTATTATGTGATTGTGTGTATTGTGTCATTGTGTGTATTGCGTCATTGTGTGTATTGCGTGATTGTGTGTATTGCGTGATTGTGTGTATTATGTGAGTGTGTGTGTTGCGTCATTGTGTGTATTATGTGAGTGTGTGTATTGCGTGATTGTGTGTATTATGTGAATGTGTGTATTGCGTGAGTGTGTATATTATGTGAGTGTGTGTATTGCGTGATTGTGTGTATTGCGTGATTGTGTGTAATGTGTCATTGTGTGTATTATGTGACTGTGTATTGCGTGATTGTGTGTATTATGTGAGTGTGTGTATTGCGTGAGTGTGTATATTATGTGAGTGTGTGTATTGCGTGATTGTGTGTATTGCGTGATTGTGTGTATTGCGTCATTGTGTGTATTCTGTGATTGTGTGTATTGCGTCATTGTGTGTATTATGTGATTGTGCGTTATAATAATAATAATAATTGCGCGATTGTGTGTATTGCATCATTGTGTGTATTATGTGATTGTGTGTATTGCGTCATTGTGTGTATTATGTGAGTGTGTGTATTGCGTCATTGTGTGTATTGCGTCATTGTGTGTATTATGTGATTGTGTGTATTGCGTCATTGTGTGTATTGCGTCATTGTGTGTATTGCGTGATTGTGTGTTTTATGTGAGTGTGTGTATTGCGTCATTGTGTGTATTATGTGAGTGTGTGTATTGCGTGATTGTGTGTATTATGTGAGTGTGAGTATTGCGTGATTGTGTGTATTGGTGTCATTGTGTGTATTATGTGAGTGTGTGTATTGCGTGATTGTGTGCATTATGTGAGTGGGTGTATTGCGTCATTGTGTGTATTGGTGTCATTGTGTGTATTGCGTGCCTTGACTGAGCCGGAATATTTTGCCAATTGCTAAAAATTGAAATACTCGCTTAAAATAAAACAAAGGACGTCACATGTAAAAAGGTTATGAAAGGAACTTAAAGGTGATTTTATTTACGCTCTGACTTTTCAGATCTGTTTAAATAATAGAAAATATATAATTTAGTGAACTATTTTGCATAAAGTTCTCACGTGACAATTCTGCCATAAGGTTTAAAAAACTGAAAGGACTATTTTATTCCTAAGATTTGTGTCCTGGGATCCAGAAACAGCCACAGTAATGTAATGCAAATTTACAATGGAAAGACTCTCTGCTGCCATCTAAAGTACAAACTAAGAACTACTAGGCTTTCATTCTGCTGTGTCCCAAAATCAAACTCATGTTAATTCACTAAAGTGTGTATTGACAGGAATTGGAAATCATTTTTACATTTCATGCCATAATAGGCAAAGTCAGCTTTGTTCGCAGTTTGACTATTGGCCTAATATTTTAGATTGTCACTTGCCAAAAACATTATATCCTATTACACCTAGCCACTCTACCAGTCCCATCACAACTACCCACTCCACCAGTCCCATTACAACTACCCACTCCACCAGTCCCATTACACCTACCAACTCCACCAGTCCCATTACACCTACCCACTCCACCAGTCCCATTACACCTACCAACTCCACCAGTCCTATTACAACTACCCACTCTACCAGTCCCATCACAACTACCCACTCCACCAGTCCCATCACACCTACCAACTCCACCAGTCCTATTACAACTACCCACTCCACCAGTCCCATTACACCTACCAACTCCACCAGTCCTATTACAACTACCCACTCTACCAGTCCCATCACAACTACCCACTCCACCAGTCCCATTACAACTACCCACTCCACCAGTCCCATTACACCTACCAACTCCACCAGTCCCATTACACCTACCCACTCTACCAGTCCCATTACAACTACCCACTCTACCAGTCCCATCACAACTACCCACTCTACCAGTCCCATCACAACTACCCACTCCACCAGTCCCATTACAACTACCCACTCCACCAGTCCCATTACACCTACCAACTCCACCAGTCCCACTACACCTACCCACTCCACCAGTCCCATTACACCTACCAACTCCACCAGTCCCATTACACCTACCAACTCTACCAGTCCCATTACAACTACCCACACCACTAGTCCCATTACAACTACCCACTCCACCAGTCCTATTACAACTACCCACTCTACCAGTCCCATTACACCTACCCACTCCACCAGTCCTATTACACCTACCCACTCTACCAGTCCCATTACACCTACCAACTCCACCAGTCCTATTACACCTACCAACTCCACCAGTCCCATTACACCTACCAACTCTACCAGTCCCATTACACCTACCCACTCCACCAGTCCCATCACACCTACCCACTCCACCAGTCCCATTTCACCTACCAACTTCCCTATCCAAATTTCCCCTACTCTCTATGTCCACTTTACCCATCACCATGTTTCACTCCATTATCTCAACTAAACCTGCACATATTTCACCACTACATGTGAATACTACCTAATTTCCTCATTTCAAGCTCCATATTCACACGGGTTTTGTAACATTGAGACAGGCCTTCTCTTTAACTAAAGTGGCCTAGCCCGAATCCTGAAAGAAAAAAAAAGGACCATCATCCCTCGTCCACCAAACTATACAGTAGGCACTAGGCATTCCGGTAGGTATTGTTTGCCAGATCATGAAGCAAGATTCATCGCTTCCGAGAACCTGTTTTCTCTGCTGCCAAGTGCAATGGCAACGTGTTTTACGCCATTCCAGTTTGTAATCAGCTGCTCGGCCATGCAAACCCATTTCATTATGCTCACAATGCAATTTGTGTGCTGATATTGCTTCCAAAGGCAGTGCGAAACATTGTAATACACTGCTCAATAAAATAAAGGGAACACAAAAATAACACATCCTAGATCTGAATTAATGAAATATTCTTCTGAAATACTTTGTTCTTTACATAGTTGATTGTGCTGACAACAAAATCACACAAAAATAAAAAAATGGAAATCAAATTTTTCAACCCATGGAGGTCTGGATTTGGAGTCACACTCAAAATTAAAGTGGAAAACACACTACAGGCTGATCCAACTTTGATGTAATGTCCTTAAAACAAGTCAAAATGAGGTTCAGTAATGTGTGTGGCCTCCATGTGCCTGTATGACCTCCCTACAATGCCTGTGCATGTTCATGATGAGGTGGCGGATGGTCTCCTGAGGGATCTTCTCCCAGACCTGGACTAAAGCATCTGCCAACTCCTGGACAGTCTGTGGTGCAACATGACGTTGGTGGATGGAGTAAGACATGATGTTCCAGATGTGCTCAATTGGATTCA